TATTCGATTATTACATATGAGTGTCTGTAATTACTGATACATATAGTACAGTCATTGGATTTCTGTTTATTAGTTCGGTTCATTGGTAGTAGTGAAAGAAGTGGCAGCTGGCGCGGGAAACAGAAGCAAATTCAATTGCTTTTCCCTGACTTGGGAGTGCAATCAGTCTCTCAGTACGCTCAGCACGCCTGGCCTTGCGTAAAATCCTAAAGATGCTACGCCGCATACTGGGCTCAATCGACAGGTCCTTGTAAGTTAGGGACACACGGTGGCCGTCTCCGATTTTCCACGAGATTCCCAAGCGTCGCAAGGCCGCGCGGGCAGCAGACCAAGGTGAGGAAGAAGAATTGGATATTCCACGGAACGGTCCAGTGTCGGAGGCCGAAAGGAAGAGGCTTAGGTCGTTGGGCGATATGTGACATCTTATTCTCTGAGCGATGAATCCTTCCAAGCCGCTCCATGCAAGATCTGCCACAGTAGGGTCCGGGGAGGTTAGGAGCTTAAAGACGTTGTCAATTCTGGCGATGTCAGAATCCTCGGCTGTAATCGGGACCCCAAAGCATCCGGCGGAGGAATCTCCATAAAGATACTCGTTAGCAGCCTCCTGAGGAACGGAGATGGTCTCCTTTAAAAAGGTTTGGATGAAATCGTCAAGACGGGTCCAGGCTCCTTTCTTGAGTCGGGCGGTCCGCATATCAGGACAGTAAAGGGAACAAGGCTTTGAGAGCATCAATCCTTTGCCAGGGTGCAAGTGCGGACTCCATGATCTTCTGGCTAAAGCGCATGTAGGTGGCGAGAGCGTTCTGGTCGTCAGGGAGCTGGTACCCTATTGGCTTCCCGAGAAAGGAACCTGAATCTCCATCAGTCAGGTGCTGGAAGACAGTTCCATACAGTGAGAAGGAAGTTGGTCGCGTCCCTGTTGGTCTTTGTCCAGACAGGTGAGGGGAGAAACATTTGCTTGGATTGAACTTAAGGGAGAGTTTGTCAGCAAAGTCTGCAGCCAAATCCAATTGCTCTTGTAGCTCAGAGGGGGATGATGCAAGTAGTAATAGGTCATCAGCATATGCCAATACCCGATGCTCTGACGATGATGAACCTTGTAGAGCAGCTACAAGGGGGTTGATGATGAGGTTAAACAGGAGTCCGCTGAGGGGGCAGCCCTGTCGTACACCTCTTGTGGTGGGGATGGGATCGGTGGTGCCATCAATGCATAGGAACTGGGTAGAGGCCTCAGTGTACATTGATTTTACGATGTTGACGAGTGAAGGACCGGCACCAGACATAAGAGCGTCCAGAATGGCCTGGTGTTGGATGGATCCAAAAGCATCTGAGATGTCGAGGGAGGCGATGCAAATGTCGTTTCGAGAGCATACCGAACGGCGGATCCGGTTCTCGAGGATGAAGTTGTGCTCGAAAACGCCGTCGTGTGGCATAAACCCCTTTTGACAGGCAGAGAGGACGTCGTGGGTCGAGAGCCATGTGGTGAGATGTCTGGCAATGCAACCGGAAAACAGTTTAGCCAGATTGCAGCGAAGTGTGATAGTTCTCCAGTTCTGGAGGTCAGCTGGGTCACCTTTTTTGTACAGGAGAATGGAAGTGGATCGTTTCCAACAGTCAGGGATCCTTCCAGCTTTTAGGCATATGTTAAAGATGGGCATCAGTACCTTGCAGTCAGGGTCCAATGAGCGCCAGTGTTGGTAAGAAAGGCGGTCGGGACCCGGGGCGGTACTCTCACAGGCGTGAAGGCGAGCAGATATCTCAGCAGAGGAGAAGGGAGTCATGTCGACCTCGGGCCGTTGGCTATCAGTTGTGGCGAAGAGGGTGGGATCGACCGGTGGTGAAGGAGCAGCAATGGTGAAGAACTCAGACACCGCATTGCAGTCAACCTGGCATCTCGGTGATTCCCCGTCAGTGAGCAGACGAATGGCTTTACGGCGATTGCGGCGGTAAAGTCTCTGTATACCCTTGTGATCGGTCGGCAAGGCCGGTGGTGCTGGCCGAGTTGTAGGATGAGCTGGTAATTTCACTAAGCGTTGAGCCTCGGCGATCATAACTTCAAGGGCGTCTTCGAAGTGTCTCCACATGCGGGCAGGGTCTCCGCCTACTATTTCGACGAAGCATGGTCGGAAGGCAGCAAGCGGAGACTCGTCAACTGGTTCATCCAAAGGCGGAGGGTTCTCTTCCAGGTCATCAGAACCAGGTACCGTCCGGTGCAGGGAGTCAGCAAGGTCAGGCTGCGAGGCAACATCCGTGGGGGAGTCTGTACCTCGTCGTGGTGTTGAGGTGCCTGTGGAGGTGGAGGTGCAACGTCACCAGACGTCGCTGCGTCAGCGTACAAGTGAGCCGGGACATCAGTGCTGGGTTGCACAGGAGATGGAGAGTCAGCAGATGTACGGCGGCGGCGTCGTCGTCGATTGTTTGCGGTCGACTGTGGGAGTTTGGTTGCCACAGCACGTTGTCGTTCCCGGCGATGTCTGGCCTGGTGATTCAGAAGACCGCCTCTAGTCTGGCACGAGAAGTCACATGTTGGGCATTTCCAGCGGTGTGACAGTCCAAAAGGGAGGATTACTGGCTGGTCCCGGAAGCACTCATGCAGGGAAACACGGGTGTTGATCATTCGGCTGCAGTGGCGGCACCAGTTCTTAGTACCTGTTACCGAGATACCATGGATGTACTGGAGGTGGCGGCACAAGGAGTGGCGCAGGTGAGTCCATGTCCTTGAATGGAAAGTCCGGTTGCAGAGGTGTTCCGTGCAGTGGAGAGTGTCGACGACGGGGAATACCAGATGGACCCAGGCTCCAATCCGGCAGGTCGAAGGTGGGCAGTCGATCTCGGGAGCTAAAGGCGTGGTGGGCAGGACAGGCGTTCCATGCTGTGGGCGTGACTGCGTATTCGGCGACGGACTTGGAGTTCGAGCGTCGGCATGTTGAAAAGGTGCAGGCGGTGTCTCCTCTCTACGTGCAGAGGTGTCCAAGTGGCGGGCGTCCGGTAGGAGTCCGGCTGTGGTGTCATCCAGTGGGGCAGTGTCGTCAGACAGAGACTCAGATGGTGGGACGCAGACGATCAGGACGTCGGGGTCAGCCAATGGCGATGTGGTGGTGGAGCTCGAGGTGATCTCTGGGAGCGTCAGCAAGCTGTGGTCCATGACTGTCCGAGGGCTGTGCGGGAAGACTGGCAGGAGGTTCCTCGCGATCTGAGCAGTCAGGCGCCGACGAGGCCGAGGTGGCTGTTGCAGAGGTGAGCTTGGCAGCATATCTTGATCTCGTATGGCTTGCAATTGGGGACTCACGAGAAGGGCACGATGCAGGAGCGTCGGCAGGTGGAAGTGAGTGGCCTAGTTTCGTCCCATACTTCTGGTGGAGTCTCATGTGGCTTTTGAGCTTCGAGGTCTTCGTGAAGGGTTTGCCACAAGTGTCACATTTCTTGTTGGGTGGTAAGGGAGTGACAGCTGTCGATGATGTTCCAGCAGTAGTCAGGGGCGATGTGGATGGTCCAACGACTGCCTGAGCGTGAGTAGACGTCTGTGGTCCTGGCTGCAACAAGGATGAGGGCGTGGCATCTGAGGACCGGCGAGCATGGTGGGTGGCCTGAATTATACCGAGGAGTTCACGTATGTGACTTGTATTCGTGATGGGCGGGCCAGTCGGAGTAACGAAGGCGGCAACATGGCGTTTCGGAGGTCTTTCGTCCGAAAAAGCACCCATCATCCAGGAGCAGGGTTGTCCTCCGGAGGTCGCACCAGCGGCGAGAACGGGAACCGGGCATCCATCGGTGACCTTAGAAGTGTGGAGTCCTCCAGTGGAAGCAGCGTCCATCCTGGAACGGGGCAGACCTTCTGGGGTGGCACCATCCTTTTCGGCGGTCGGACTGCAACAAACGGACACGTGAGTATTCGCCCGGCGTCCTGTCAACTCCTTGGGAATTGAGACTCCAGGGGTAACGTCCGCGCAGGGATCCATAGACAGCGGCAGCAAGCCTGAGGTGAGTGGTGGGGACCTAGAACTAGGGCTCCTTACTGCAGGAGGCGGGCGTGGTCTTGGTCGAGCAGCTGGGCGTGGTGGGGAGCTTATCCTTCCATCGGGTTGTCTACCACTCAAGGTCCGCGCTGGGAGGCAGGGCGTCGGTGGATCAGCGGTGTCAGGAGAGCCAAGCATCCTGTAAATAGAGAAGGGCAGGCAAAGCAGCAGCAAGAAAAAAGGCTTCTTGGTAAGATCAATGGGAAGGCAGGAGGTCAGAGCTTTCGTCCGAGCCAAAGGTACCTGGTAGAGGGGAAAAAAGGGGGGGAGAAAGTTTAACGGATAGCAGAAGGAATGAGGGAAAGAGGTGAGAAGAGAAAGACCAAACCCACCAAAGTAGGTGGGAAAGTGGAAACGGAAAAGAAATGAGGGCTCGACGTATGCAAGGATACACTACAAAAGTGCTCAGTGCTACGCAGAGGAAGAGACAGTCGCTATTAGCGAAAGGAAGGCAGAAACAGAAGGGCCCCGCCCACCACTCAGACAAACCGATTGCGGTAAGTCCAGCAGTAACGGAAACAGCCAAAAAAAAACCCTGCACGCTCACAGGGGGGGATAGGAAAGGGTTCTGTTGAACGCAAGTAAAGAACGTATTCGAACCATCAAGCGTCAACAGGAAGAAGAGAAAAAGCAAAACTTACCCAAGGTTCACCCCGGCTCCGCCCTCCAAGCGAGGTTTCTACACCTTCAGCATATCCACCACTGTAAAAATAGAAAAAAATTACGTGGGCAAATTAAGCTGATAAGAACAGAATTTTCTTTATTTAGCAAATGTTAATTGCCACTTTACATAATGCTGGTGTGTTCGTGGCGTAACAACCAACAACGCACGCAGTGCGATTTGAGGATATATATTATTTAAAAGTTGAGTAGAATATTTACTATTTACAATTTCTTTATATACAGCTATTTACAATTTCTTTATATACCGCTATTTACATGGTTGGATGGATCTATTATCACTACTTGTCGCATCAGTCCTGTTTATACATCTTGTTGTACGCCTGTGATATGTTCCACGTAAATGTCCCACGATATTCTAATTGTGTCACTTACAATCAATTTTCTCATCAATGCTGCATATCGTTTGGAACACAGGCGATTAATTATTCGATCATTCTTGGGGTCCCATGACCCGAGGGAGCCAACGATGATCGCTTCTACTCGAACATCACTGTACCTTGCCTTGAGCATGTCGACCAGCGGGCGGTATTTGTCCTCTTTTTCTCTTCTTGCACGATCAAACGCATCACGCCTATTGTCGAAAGGTGTGGTGATGTCTAGTATGAGGCACGCATCATCACGCACTAGTACCAGATCAGGTCGTAGGTTCTGTCCCGTAATGGCCTGGTTTTCAGTTAGGATGCTCCAACGACCAGTAGCCGCCTTCTTCACACGTTCGACGATTGCATTGTGTCTCTTCTGCAAAAGCCGACTGTACCGCATACAGTGGTTTATGACGTGTGGAAGCGTTTCACTCTCATAGCTGCAACGACGACATCCTCGCGTCCCGGCATTCCGTCGGCTGACGGCATTCAGAGGGAGGAGGTTTAGCCGCGCACGGTGTATGAACCGCCAGTCAGCGAAGCGAGTAAAAGACCCATCACGGAAGAAATGAGAACTCGCTTCGGCTGCGGCTGCACATTCTATCGCTTTTCGCTGACTGGGGTATGAAATCAGCTTTGAAGATCTGGCGTGCTTACAGTTGTTGCGTATGGTGCGGAAGATAAGGTGCCTCTTTCCGGCATAGATGGTATCTCCGTTGTGCGTAATGGAAACATGGTTGTCCTCAGAGAAGCTCCATTGGACCTGCATGCGTCTTGAGGCACTCCGAGCAGCAGACCAAATTGAAGAGATAGGGTTGGTGGTTGAGCGGGGAATTTCCTCTTGCGAGCCAGACAGGAAAGCAGCGAGTGTCGCTGGCGTAGGTTTGCGCTTGATTCTGGCTTCCACAAGGCGCGAAAGATCAGTCCACGCAAGCTCTTGGACATGCGGGTCTCTGGACGTTAACAGCTTAAATGCTCCATCAATCCTCGCGATGTCTGAGTTTTCAGCTGCAAGGGGTATACCGAAGCAGGCGGATTGAGTGTGGCCATACATCTACTCGCTGGCAGCTTCCGACGGAAGAGAAAGAGTCTTTTTAAGTTTTGGTCTGGCAAAGTCATCAATCCTGGCCCATGCAGTCTTCGTGAGCCTTGCAGTACGTAGGTCATAGTGCGTCTATTCTCTGCCAGGGGGCAAGCTTCGACTCTAGGATGGCATTGCAGGCATTAATGTAGGTCTGGATGGTGGAGTCCTCGGGGGTAGCTGAAATCCAATCGGTCTTCCAAGGAATTCCTCGCCTTCCCCATTACTCAGCATTCTAACATGTTGTCCAGCCACAGCGAAGGACGACGCGCGAGCACCCACTGGTTGAAATCCGGAGATGTGGAGCGTGAAACATTTGTCCGGATTGAAGTGCAGGTCAATCTTTCTAACAAGCTCGCAGATGAGATGTAACTGGATCTGTAGTTCCACTGGGGAAGGGGCAAGCAATAGCAGGTCATCTGCATACGCTAGCACTCTGTGCTCGTTCGCCTGTCCTTGCACGGCGCGTATAGCTGGGTCGATCGCAAGGTTGAGTGAGTGAGTGAGTGATTATGGCGCAAAAACCAGAGATGATTATGACGCGCCAAACAAAAGATGAGATGATTACAATTGATGACATTAAAATTCAATAAATAAAAACAAGTAGATAAATGTACCAAATCCAGAGGATGAAGTCATATAAAAACAAGTTAAAAGCACATATTAACATTCAAGACACAGTCTTCAAAACAAATTACATTTGGTAATAAAAGCCAATCTCTTTTAAATAAATAAAATAAATTAGAATTGACCTCTCTTCCGATTAAACGGTCGAGAGGTAAGTCACAGCTATTAAAATATTTTCTGGCGAAGACTATTAAAACATGGACACTCAATTAAAATATGACGAACAGATAAACAAACATTACAATTAAAACAAACAGGCTCATTTTCAGCTTTAAGAAGATAGCTATGTGTGACTCTGGTATGACCAATTCTGAGTCGAGTCAAAAGAACGTCCTCTTTACGATTTCCAGCAAAAATCCCAATGCTCAATTCTAGGTTTGATGTTTCTCAACTTGTTGTGATGCTGAACATCCCAAATTTGCTGCCATTTTTTTCGTATCTTTCCCTTGATGACACAGCAGATGTCTCTAAAAGGGATAAGGCGACTGGACAGTTCGACAGCAGATTTTGCCGCGATGTCTGCAAGCTCGTTTCCCTTTATTCCCGTATGCCCGGGAACCCAGCAGTACAGGATTTCATAACCTCGAATCGTTAAATTTATATGAATTTTGAGAACATCCACTACCACAGGATTCTGAGCGTTGGGAAAAGCTTCCAAGGATTTAAGAGCACTATACGAGTCTGTGTAAACTATGAACTTTTTGTGGCAGAGCTTTGAGATGTACAAAAGAGCATAATATATTGCAGTTAGTTCAGATGTTAGGACAGAGAAAGCATGGTGCAGGCATCTGCCCTCTATGTAATTTTCAAATACAAAAGCCATCCCGACATGATCATTTGACTTTGATCCATCTGTGTATATCGGATAATAACTGCTATATTTGTGCCTGTGCTCAGCGAAAATTTGTCTGTAAACGATCTCGTTAGTGCTCGCCTTTACGTGATGTTTAAAAACATCAAGAAGCTGGATCCGTGAATTTTCCCAAGGTGGAATTTCAAAATTCTGTACTGCTTGCGGTGCATATCAGAGAGGGAGAGTTCCTCAATGACAGGGCGAACTCTTAAAGGGAAAGTAGGAACACAGGATGGACGTGTTTCAAATAATGTGTTACACTCATTATCAAGTAAGCACAGCTTATTGGGATGTTCAGGTTGAGATAGAGTATTAAAATATTGCAAAAGGGACAATTGCTCACGCCTCAGATAAAGTGATGGTTCGTTACAGTCAACATATAGGCTCTGCACAGGAGAAGTCCTGAAAGCTCCTGAACAAATCCGCAGACCTTGATGGTGAACAGGATCCAGTTTTAACAAAACAGATGACCGAGCGGATCCATAAACAACTGAGCCATAGTCCAGTTTAGAGCGGATAAGCGCTCTGTAAATGCGAAGCATGGAGCAACGCTCTGCACCCCAGGAGGTGTTCGCCAACACTTTTAAAATATTTAGTGTTTTTAGACACTTCTTTCTCAGGTTTAAAACATGAGAAAGGAAAGTCAATTTTCGGTCGAACGTCACTCCTAAAAATTTTACTTCAGGCGCAACTGGAATAATTGTACCATTCAAGTATAACTCAGGTTCAGGATGGAGACCTCGCTTCCTACAAAAGTGCACGCAGACAGTTTTCTGTTTCGAAAATGTAAATCCCTGTTTGTCTGACCATTCTTGGATCTTAATCAGAGCCATCTGCAGTTGCCTCTCTACATATCTCATGTCTGCTCCTTGACAGCTAATCTGCAGATCATCAACATATAGAGATCCCAAGATGGTGGGAGGAAGTTCTTTTAGTACAGAATTTATTTTTAAACTGAAACAGGGTTACACTGAGCACACAGCCTTGAGGCACACCCTCTTCCTGTTCAAAAACATCCGAAAAAACAGAGCCAATTCTTACTTGAAAAGTTCTAGTGTTCAAGAAATTTTGAATGAAAATTGGTAGGTTGCCGCGCAAGCCACTCTCGTGAAGATCCCGGAGTATACCGTATCTCCATGCCTTATCATAAGCTTTTTCAATGTCGAAGAATATCGAGACAAGGTGGCTTCTTCTTACAAATGCTTTTCGAATAGATGTCTCTAAGAGGAGGAGCATGTTATCTACAGTTGTTCTTCCCTTTCGAAAACCACTCTGATAAGGCGATATAATATCATTCTTTTCCAAGAAGTAGACTAGGCGGCTGTTTACCATCTTTTCAAACAGTTTGCAGAGGCAACTCGTAAGGGCAATTGGCCGATAGTTGGAGGGATTCCTTGGATCTTTCCCTGGCTTAGGAATAGGAATGACAACAGCTCTCCTCCATGCACTGGGAAAGGCATGCTCCTTCCACACCCTATTGTAAAGAGTGAGAAGGGCATTCAGTGACTTACAGGACAGATGCTTTAGCATTTCATAATTCACTCCATCAAGATCCAGAGAAGACCTATGTGTCTGCAATAAAGCACTCCTTAATTCAAGCATAGTCTCTATTGTAAGGCTCAGATTAAAGTCTCTATTGTAAGGCTCAGATTTGGAAAGAGTTGAATGCGATGGGATTTATTTCAGAGTGCTGCTTCATAGAAAGAAATGCAGGTGTATAGTTTCTGCTGGAAGAAACGGAAGCAAATGTCTCACCAATAGTATTCGCAATTTCTTCTATGGAGCTAATCACTCGGCCATCTTTTTCCAAAAAGGAAAGTGAGTGGTCTTTATATATGCCGCATGCTTTTTGAACTCTTTCCCAAACCCGCTTGCTAGGCGTGGAGGATGTTATTGACGACACATATGAAATCCAGGAATCCCTCTGGCTCTGCCTTCTTACTTTTCGTGCATTTGCTTTGGCTCTTTTAAAGGCTATGAGGTTTCGCAGAGTAGGATATCTACGAAAAATACCCCATGCTTTTTTCTGTTTTTTCAGTGCTTCATGACAGTCGCGATTCCACCATGGTTTTGAATATTTTAGTAGTTTTCCTGATGTTCTAGGAATCGAAAGCATAGCTGCCTGAATAATAGTATTAGTAACAGCTTCAACAGCGTCATCGATATGCGCATCTTCTACCATTTCATCTGTGAGCTCTGCAATGGAAGAGAAGAGTTCCCAGTCTGCCCTGTCCAGTATGAATCGAGGGGATCTCGACATGGGGTTTGCTCCTCTTCGTGCAAGAGACACAAGAATGGGATAATGATCACTGTTGTGTAGATCTTTACCCACATTAAAAGTGCAAAAAGGCAACAGAGATGGTGAACAGATGGCAAGGTCGAGAGCATGGAATGTTTTTGAAGGCTCATGGAAGTAAGTATCTTGCCCATTATTGAGGAGACAAAGGCTATGATCTTCGATCATCTGCTCAATTTGTCTTCCTCGGCAATTAGTATCCTTACTACCCCAGAGCGGACTATGGCCGTTAAAATCTCCTATTATGATGAAAGGCTCAGGCAGCTGCTCTAAAAGACCATTTAAATCTTGCTGATCAATATGCTCATTTGGAGGCAAATACAGAGAAAACGACTGTAACAACAAAATCAAAATTTGTTTGAGTAGCGACAACTTGGAGGGATGTCGTCAAAGAAAGCACATTTGAGGAATAGTCCAGTGAGGTGAGGAGACCTACACCTCCACTGGCACGCTCACCTGCAAGGTTATCTTTCCTGACGAAGGAAAAACCTCCGAAGTTTTGCCTGTTGTTCTGGTTTTAGATTTGTTTCCTGTACTGCGAAGCATACAGGATGATAAGTATTAATTATGGCTTTGATATCGAGCAAATTTCGGTGTAAACCGCGACAGTTCCATGAGACGAGGGTGGCCATTATGTCTGGTTTTTGTTCTTTCTGTGCTCTTGTTTGGTTTTTCGTGGAAGTAGATGCCTGGGAACTTCTAGACCCTCCTCTACTTCCATAGTGTCTGAATCCGCAGATTCAGAAATCATTTCGTCAAAAGAGCTATTGCTGGGACTTCTATTTTTATTAATTATTTGTGACTTTCAATTTTAGGTTTACTTTGAATGACTGTTTCTTTTTTTTGTATTAAATGAGTTGCATTTTCCGTTTTTCTTGGTGGATGTGGTTGGTTGGGTTTTATTGTGGTTTAGTCTGCGTGCCTATTGATGTTTGGGTGGCAATGCTACGTGTTGTTTTAACTGCACTGGCATAAGATTTGTTTGATTGGAGCTGTGTGCTTTGAACTAGTTTTCTGGCTTCAGCATACGAGATGTTCCTGGTAACTTTAAGAGTCTGTACTTCTTTTTCGGATTTCCATTTTGGGCAGAGGCGTGAAAATGCTGGGTGCTGCTGACCCTTGCAATTTATACACGAAGGCGCAGCGGTACAATTTTCCGAATCGTGGCCAATCTGTGAGCATCGGGCGCATGTGAGG